GTGTGACCCGAGGAGGGAGGCGAGAACGGGCTGAGGGTTTGTTGTTAGGTGGCGAGTGGAAAACAGAGTCAAACGAGCCACCATCCTCGCGAGTGCGGGTCTCTGTATCGCCTGGCGTCCCAGGCACTCTGCCCTATGAGCCGGCTTCCCCCTTTCCACAGAGCAGCAAGGGGGTGGCCTCTCCCCATCACCGCTTTGGCATTCTTCCCGAGGAGGGAGGCGAGAACGGGCTGAGGGTTTGTTGTTAGGTGGCGAGTGGAAAACAGAGTCAAACGAGCCACCATCCTCGCGAGTGCGGGTCTCTGTATCGCCTGGCGTCCCAGGCACTCTGCCCTATGAGCCGGCTTCCCCCTTTCCACAGAGCAGCAAGGGGGTGGCCTCTCCCCATCACCGCTTTGGCATTCTTCACTTTTTGCCTCTACTTTCCAAAATGATTTGCCATTGGATTTCTCTCGCTCAGCGATTTCTGTTCGTTTGGTTTGGACTCAAAAATAGCGTTTTCCCTGCTCTTGTATGTGGTACCAATGGGGGGGGAGAGAAACTTTGTCGTTGGGTGTAAAAACACACCCTTTCTCTCTTAGGCTTAAATTCCGCACTATCTGAATTCATCTTCTGTTTACACCTGTAATTCATCAGTCTCTGTCAAGCCTTTTGCAAAAGGAATTCTGCAACGGTATAAGCATTTTTTTTTTTTTTTTTACTTTAAAATGGGAGTCTGGTTATATCGTAAAAACAACTATCAACACATAAGAGTATAACATAAGAATGGCCATACTAGATCAGGTCTAAAGTCCAAGTAGCCTAATACCCTGTTTTCTGACATTGGTTAATGCCATGTGCCCCAGAGGGAATGAACAGAAGAGGTAATGATCAAGTGATCCATCACCTGTTAACCCTTTGCCAGCTTCTGGCAAAAAGAGGCTGGGGGTACCATTCCTACCTATCGTGGCTAATAGCCATGGATGAACCTATCCTCCATGAATTTATCTAGCTCTTTTTAAAATCTTGTTAAAGCCTTGGGGCTGTGTCTAGACTGGCAAGTTTTTCCGCAAAAGCAGGTGTTTTTGCAGAAAAACTTGCCAGTTGTCTACACTGGCCGCTTGAATTTCCGCAAGAACACTGACTTCCTACTGTCTGAAATCAGTGCTTCTTGCGGAAATACTATGCTGCTCCCGTTCGGGCAAAAGTCCTTTTGCACAAAGCTTTTGCGCAAAAGGGCCAGTGTTGACAGCTCAGATTTGTTTTGTGCAAAAAAGCACGGATCACGAAAATGGCGAACAGGGCTTTTTTGCGGGGAAAAACATCCGTGCCAATCTAGACACTCTGTTCCAAAAATGCTTTTAACGGAAAACTTTTCTGTTAAAAGCATTTGCAGAAAATCATGCCAGTCTAGACGTAGCCTTAGTGTTCCCATGTCCTCTGGCAAGGAGTTCCCAGATTGACTGCACCTGGTGAATACTTCATTTTGGTTTTTTTTAATCCTGCTATCTATTAATTTCATTTGATGACCCCTAGTTCTTGTGATACAGTGTGGTGTCAGTTGTCATTAAGGGCCAGAAAGGCTCTCTTTGATTCTTCTAGGATTTAGATCAAAGGCACTTAACTTCTGTTCAAGTCCCCTGCAGAGGAACTCCAGAACTGACCTTTGATGCTAGGCCTTTTACTGTCAGAAAGCTTTCTCTTGATTTGACATGAATCTCAAGTCTCACCTCTTGAAGCCTTTCGGACAGTGAGGAGCAAACTAGGCTAGAGAGTGAGCTGCATCACTGTAGCAAACTAGACACTTTATCGGGATATGGTAGGTTTGCTAACTGTGCTTGCATACCTAGAATTTGCGGGGTGTGCCAAGTGAACTATAGCAGCACTTTATTTGGATGCAGAGAGAACACATGGCTCACAATATTGGTGTTCAATCAGCACAAACCTCAGTTCACGTGCCCTTGCTTTGTCACTTTTGTAATACTGTTAGGCTGTGTCTACACTGGCGCAATCTCGCGCAAAAGCAGCCGCTCTTGCGCAAAAACTTGCTGCCTGTCTACACTGACCGCGTGTTCTTGCGCTAATAAACTGATATTCTAATGTATAAAATCAGGGCTTCTTGCGCCAGAACTCTGACACTCCCGCTCAGGAAGAAGCCCTTTTGTGCAAGAGCTCTTCCGGAGGAGGCCAGTGTAGACAGGCAACATGAACTTCTTGTGCAAGAAAGTCCTATGGCTAAAATGGCCATCGGAGCTTTCTTGTGCAAGAGAGTGTCTACACTGGCATGGATGCTCTTGCACGAAAGCACATGCCAGTGTAGACGCTCTCTTCTGGAAGAGTTTTTGCACAAGAACTCTTCTGCAAAAGTTTTGCGCAAGAAGCTGCCAGTGTAGACATAGCCTTGGGGGGAAAAAAAAACTACATGAACAAAAACCAGCAGAATCTGGCTACTTTGTGTGGGCAACAATAAACAAAATGTCTCATGGGCCACCCATAGAACCCCAATGGGCTGCAAGTTGCTCACCACTGATTTAAGAAGCTTTATGTGCTTCTAGCAAGTAAGTGTTTCCACCTCATTCCAGGGAGCACCCTGTTATGGTGGGCTTGGGTGTCTCACAGACTGGGGCTGCTCTGATCAGCCAGAGAAACCCCCGCTCAACCTCCCTATAATCTGTTAACCGGTTAAACATTTCTACTTCACTCTGGTATGTGGTGAGTAATTAAGTAAATATCCTGGTTATAGTACGATTTGATACGCTGCAGTGGAGGTTACTAATGTCATAAAAGTTGGTATGTCATAAGTTAAACTGGAAGTTCATTTCTTTTGTGCAAAGGTTTAAAGCAGGCCTGGGCAAAATATGGCCTGTGGGCTGAATCTGGCCTGCCAAGCCACCAGATCTGGCCCATGGAGGCAGCAGGGAGCCCCAGGCAGGCTCTCCTGCAGCCCTGCGTGCTGTGCAGAAATGTGGCTGCCGGGTCCTGATTCTGTTTTAAAATGGGAGGGGAGGGGGGAAGCTTCAGGAGCCACCCTCGCCCCCAGTACAATCCCATTGGCTGGTTTCCCAATGGGAGCTGCTTGTTTGAATAACAGGCTGCCAAGAAGAGCCATGCCCCCCTTCCTCAGCTCCGTTATTCACTGAAGCACATGGCCAAGCAAGCAGTCAGGCTGTCTGGGAAATGTTTTAAGCTCGGCAAGCTTTAGTTCTGCAAGCAGGCAGTTTAGTTTGGCCGCTGGCTGGTAAGTCTCCTGGCAACAGCCTGCCTCTGGAACCCCAGCCTCTCCTTGCCCCAACTTTCTCCATACCCCACTCAACACACTCAAACCCTTTGTCCCCCTCTTGCACCCAGGCCCCGTCCCAGATCTGGCACCCCAATCTCCTGCCCCAGATCACAATCCCCTTCTACCTTAGGTCACATCCTAAATCCCTGCACTCCAGTCCCCTGCCCTAGGTAACAACTGCCACCTTCACCAAACTCCTTCCCAGACTCCATTCTTCCGTCTGCACCCCAATCCTGTACTCCAAGCTCCCCTCTGTACCTAACCTCCATCCCAGACCCTACATCTCCATTAATATCATGGAAGAGTGCAGCTCTTGACCACTTTCCAAAATCTTGGAATGGCCCCCCCATCAAAAATTATTGCCCACCCCTGGTTTAAAGTTTGTGTATATCTGTGTGCACACATCTTGATGAGAAAAGATTTTGTGCATGCATCTAAGGCTAAGTCTTAGCCTTATCTAAGGCTGTGTCTAGTCTATATCCCTCTTTCGAAAGAGGAATGTAAATTATGCATCGAAATTGCAAATGAAGCTGGGATTTGAATTTCCTGGGCTTCATTTGCATAATCACGTCACAGCGTTTTTTCAAAAAACGCTATTTTGAAACTGAAACCACAGTCTAGACCCAGTTCTTTAAAAAAGAAAAGCCTTTTTCAAAAGATCCTGTAAACCTCATTTTTTGAGGAGTACAGGATCTTTTGAAAAAGGCTTTTCTTTTTGAAAGAACCACGTCTAGACCGCGGTTTCACTTTCGAAATAGCATTTTTCAAGAAAACGCTGTGAAGCTTATGTGTGAAGCTTATGAAAATGAAGTGTGGGAAATTCAAATCCCGGCTTCATTTTCAATTTCGATATGTGTAATTTACATCCCTCTTTTGAAAGAAGGATATAGTTTAGATGTACCCTTGTCAGCCGACGGTCAGGGCAGTGAGTCCCTTATGACCAGCTGAAGTTCTTTTAAATTGTGCTTGGTTCTGTTACAGCAACTGAAGGAGTCAGGTTAAAGTTTAAACAGTTACTATTTTATTGTTACAGGGTAAACTTAGTTGTTAAATGCTACTGCTGTGTTACAGATAACACAGCCACCCAGCCACTACAAAGGACAGGACAGAAATTACACTAATAAGTCACTTACAGGTTCCATGAAACCCTTTTGGTTCTCTGAGCTCTTATTAAATGCATGCAAAATAGACACCTAGCAGGTATATATTCTCACCCCTGCGTTCCAG